GATTGTGCAGTCTTCAAGTCAAAATATGAAGATTTTTTAACTTAGAAGTGTTTCCTTTGTAAAATTTTCTGCCAAGAATTCCTGTAATTCAAGGGCCAAAGCCCACTCAAATAATTTCTGAAAAAACCTGTAAGCAGAAAGGTGAGATCTTAGTTAACATAGATGCATATATTTATTTTTTTTCTTTCAGACTACCTTTAAGAGAATCTTTATGCCATAGGACTCTGTGCTACGAATTTTTACTTTTATGAGGATGGGTTCTCAGTACAAGCATCAAGTATATTGCAGTATTATTTCTAGCAGAATGTTTCAGAGCATATGTTCTTGTTTCTGCTGCAGTTTCTGCTTTGTCCTTAATCAGCATATACTGAAAAATTAAGACTTATTTTCACTTACACAGTAATAAATTTTTCACATGCTTTAGAATATTTTTTTTAATTTACTGAATGAATGATACTGGTAGCTTGTCATTAGTTTGTTTTTTTGAAAGTGGACTACCTTAGCTGAACTATGAAGTTGAAGTACCTGAAGTACACTATATTTGGGGGCTTTTTGTCTTCTGACAGTTCTGATGGAGGTGGGATTATGTCCCATTATGAGATTTGAAGGAAAGGAGTGCATCATGATATATTGGTGGTAAAGTTCTTAAAAGAATTTTTATAACTTTGTTGTCTACTGCATTAGATTCTTTAATTCTAAAAATATCTAAGAGATCACCTTCCTAGAAGGGACATCACAGTATTTGCATTAACAGTTTTCTGAAAGCTTTATGACTGTTGTTGGTATTTTATGTGAACTTCAAATAGATGAGCAACAAAATCTTATTGAGTATTTATTTTTCTTTCCAATTTTTTTTCCGAATTCTCTAATTGAATTTGTAATTAAGAATTTAATGCCATAAAGTATATTGTTAATATTTATCCTTTAAATATCTGATTTATTTAAGGACTCACAAAATATATATAGCTGGAAGTGAAATATGTATAGCAGGTTCACAAAATGTGTATAGCAGGTGGACTTGGCAGTGTTAGGTTTATGGTTGGACTCGATGATCTTAAAGGTTGTTTCCAACCTGAATGATTCTGTGATTCTAAAGAAGGATTGATGTTCAAGTAGATACAAATTATTAGTTTCATGAGGATTTCTGTTCTGCTGAAACGTTAAGGTTTCTGTTATTAACTTTTCTCAATAAATTATTTTTTGTTTCTGAGGGGAAGGTACTACATTCCCTCAATGAAATTTTTCTTCATGTATTGAAATAATAAAGTTATATTTTAGGTTTAGCTGAGTCCTAGTTATGGGACATATTTCATATTTTTTTTACTTTTACATCATTATCTGCAAATGGATTTTAACCTGACTGATTTCTCCTGCAAACAATTATTTAAGATAAGTATACAAATACATCTAGTCTTTGATCACACTGCATAAATGACAGGCACATAATCTGTATTGCCAGTTGAGTGGAACCAAACTCCTTCACTTGCCCTAAAAATTGAGACTGTAATGATGAAATCATGAACTGAACTCATCGTTCTTCCTAGAATTACTTGAAGACAAATGTTGGCAACCACTGTAACTAATGCAGTTATACCTGAGTAAATCAAACGTAATCAAAATATATACTGATGACTGTGACTTATAGCCATAACCTTAAAGATAATAAAAAAGATTTTATAGAAAGTCAATTATGTGAACTTCAGTGATATATAGCTGGGTTTTTTTGAGGAAAGAATAGATTGTATTACAGTGTTTGGGGTTATTAACATTTAGTTAAGTTTACAGGGAGACTTTAATTTCATCACCACCTGTTTTCATTTACTTGTTTTAGTACCTACTCCTTTTAGACACAAGGTTTGGTTAAATAAAACATTAATGCTTGAATATAGTCTCTGTGTGTGCAACCTGAAAGAAGGGGAGCCTGAAGGGTTAAATTTCTGAGCCTTCTGGAGTCAGTGTCAAACTTTGTGGCATAACTGCAGCCAGGAAGTCATTCTAGATATGTATGATGTGCTTGTAACTAATGACACAAATATAGCCAGGCTTCAGAGTGAAAAGAAAAAAATGGCGTATGGATTTAGAATGACGCCTTTTAATTGGTGTTAAATTGGTCAATACTGGACAGTAATGAAGAAAAAGGAAAACACAGGACTGTTGTTCCTCTCCTATAGGAAGGTGGAGGTATGAAATGTTGTAGAACTTTGTTGTTGTAGCAAGGGATTGCGTGTGTCGTAACTTACATGGCAGAATAATTATCTGATATTCAGCAGTGCTTATCTTTAAATTCTCTCTGGTTTGCAAAACGTGACAGTGTTCCTGCTGTTCTTCATTCTCTGTAGGTCCGGAGAGAAATAGTTAACTGCCAGCCCATGTGAGCTGTAACTTAAAACATGCATCTATCCACTTCATCTCCTATTTACCGTTTAGTACAAGAAAAGAAATTGAAATCTTGCTCAGACTTTTTACTTCAGTGCAGAAAGACAGCTTCCTACTTCCTCCTGTACAGCCAGGCTTAAACCGGCTGTAGCCAAGTTTCCAAATTCCCACTCGGCCTCTGTTTATCTCTTAAAGGAGGATGTTGATGAAAGTCGTGGTATTTGTGGGTTTAGTGTGTTGTTGAACTATTGGACTGGCAACACTGTGATGACAATGTTCTTGGGGTTTCTAGAGATCATTAATGGCAAATACAGTGTGTTATCCAGATTCTTGCTGCTGCTTTTCCTGGTATCAATAGACACCTGTTGACAGAATTATATTCTCTGCTGCACTGAAGAGAGGGATAATTATGACAGTTATTAAGAAAATTTCTCTGTGGGGTGTATATACACTGTATTTCCAGAAGACAATACTTCTGTGGGTTAAAGGAAGTGATTTAGATGAAGAGCAGTGATTTCTAAAAGCCTGCTGTGCCTTTTTAAAATTGTAAATGATGTTTATATATCTGTGTATTGGTGATTGTAATTAGTTTGTCTTCTCTTTTAACAGATTTAGTCCATTTAACCTGTCCATCAACTAAAACTGCTAGGGAAGATTTAGAGCCTGTTGTACAGAAGTTATTCACTCTAAATACAGAAAAAGGTAAAAATCATATGAAGTATTAAGAGATTATTTTGCAAAAATACAATTTACCCTTGTAACTGAAATATCTGTTAGTGAACATATGAATCTCTCATCAGAGTCAACATATGGTGAGCTGCTGTTCAGATATCAATATTTCAAAGTAAAGGAATCTATTTTGAGTCGTGAGACTGATTAGACAGATGTCAAGTTTTTTGTATTGCATGATCTAATGTTCCAAGTCATCTTCAGCTGTCGTTTAACTTCAGTATACAAGGACCATGGCTGTAAGTCTCTAGGACCTTTTTTATTTTTCACACTTTCTTTTTCATGGAAACATATTTGCTCCTCAGCATGCAGTAGTGAAATGAAATATTTGTGAATCTGTTTTTTTACACTGTCCTGTTTTTGTGATTTCTGTCCCTGGGGTGTCCCTAACAACAGTTATCAAAAACCCCAAAAGTCAGTGATTTGCTTTTCTCCTTCAGCTGCCGGATGTGCTCAGTGCTATAAGCTGCTCAGTTTTCTTTGCCTTCTCTTACTCTAGCAATGTTGCTCATCATTTTGTTGTTGTTTTTTTTCAAATGCTTCCTTGTTTGCTGTTTTTAACTGAAATTCTCTGGATTTGGCTTTAAGCAGTGGAAGCATAAATGTGTTATGCACTGCAGTGTTACCAGGATGATAGATTTCCCGTCATTCCCAGTGCAGAACTACGCGGCCCTAAATTCAAGGAAACCTTGCCAGCTACTTCCATGAACTTTGAACTTCAGATGGACAGTTTCACAGTCCCAGAGGAAAGTAGCTGGTGACAAAGCAGTTGTTCCCTAGAAAGAAATTGTCCCTGAGATACTTCGAGCTAGTTTCCCAGAAATCATTGAAATTTAATCCCAAGATCTTGAATTTAATCTTATTTTTGATAGATGCTCATAGGATAGGTAGTGTGCACATAGAAGATGTTGCTATGTTCTAACCCTGGCAAAGCATTTTTAGATATGATGTGCTCATACTTCAGTACAGTGAATTATGGTTCTTCTATGAGAAAACAACACTTAGCTGTCAGTGGAAGGGTTTACGTTCCTATATACACCAGTTAGATATGGATGTATTTTATAGTATTTAAAATTGGTTTGCTTATAATATTTGCTGTTACACCTCATGAATGAAGGTATGCTTCATGAATTCAGGTAGAATTTTCTCCTGTTTATAAAAAACAAACAAAACAAAACCTGTCCTTTATGTGACCAATCCTTTTTTTTTTCCTTCAGGGCTCTATAACCAAGAACAGTGTTTCACGAAGGGCTGAGTTCAGCTTTTCACAAGTTTGTTTTTCTCTGTTCTTTTCCCTTTTTACATTTTTTTTCCTCTACCTTGTAATGAAAAAGCAAGTATCTTATTGTTTTTATAAGACAACAATGTGCTTTTATTAGCAAGTAAAATATTAAATAATATGCATTTTCTTTCTTTTTTGCTTACAGGCAAGGCAATTATTTTGATGTCCCAAAGATAGATTTTTTTTGCTAGGTTTGTAGTACAAGAGCCTTTACAAAACACATATGTAGAATACAACTAGGGTTTGTAAATAGAAAACTTTATTAGATTGGAGAGCTGCAAACACTCATCGTGCTGATATTTGTTAACTTAAAGCCCCATGTTTTGGTAACTAATTCCCAACTTTTAATATTTAACATATATCTTAAATTTTCAAGACAGTGCTGTGTATTTCAAAGACTCAATTGGTGAAGAAAAGATTAACTTGCAGTTCAGTGTCTTCTAATCATTTGGGGGGGTTAGCATTAATCTTAATGTTTAAAGTGATCCAGTTTTGAAATGATATATTGTTTAGGACCTGACTGAAATTCTTCTGTAGAAACTCTGTGATCATAGGGGTCCTCAGGTGCACTGAGGCACTGAAAAGCTAGTTTTCACTGACACATAGGCCTTTTTATCATCAGGATGAGGTAGTGGTCGTATTTTAATTAAAATGTCAGAACAAATACTGTTGGAGTTATTGAAAATGAATCACCAGATAAAGTGAGCACTGGGCCATGGCAGGTCAAAGAGGCAAAGTCACCTGGAGAAGAGGACTCCATTCATTTTCCTGCCTAAATGAGGAAGAAGTAACTTTTATGAGCAAAGTGAACTTTTAAATATATTAAAGAGCATCTTGCCCTGTATTAAGGCTCAGGCTTTCACAGGCTGATGAATTTAATTTATATTTCAAACTGTTCAGTATGGTTAGCACCTATTTTTTTTAAAGCATTTGACAGTTATAAAAAGATACTGAAGGAATAGCATAGATTTATCTCTTTTTCTTCTAATTCAACTACTTTGAAACACTGTTTTGAGTGCTGTTGTTATTTAAAAGTTTCTTCCTTGGAAAGAGGTAAATCTCACAAGGTCTTTTACAAGCTTCATTTGTTTTGGAGGAGGTAAAATACCAAAAAGGAGACAGCAAATATACCGAACAAATAGTATCTATTAAGCTAAGAATCTATGTTGTGTATTCCTCTGTTGCATTCTGCACTGTTAAAAAGTGACCTTCATCTTCCCGGAGGTTTTTCTGCCTGTGCGTAGAGGGGTTATATGAATGTGCAAAGTAACTGCAAGAAAGGTACCAATGATGAACAAGCAAGATGGAGCTTATGATGATTTTTGTATTTATAATGAGTATTGTAGCACATTGTAAGTACTCAGTAAGCGTAGATAAATATAAATTAATAGTTTATTTTCATTTAGCAATATTTCCATGGTTTAGAGATTCTACATACTGCATACCACACATCTCAAATAGAGTACTTCTGGGTTTTGGTAATTTGAGGGGAGTATTCTTTGTAGATTTGTCTTTAACATTTCTTTTATTTAAACCATGAGCATTAGTCAGGCTCCTCAGATTGGCTTGAAGATGTTCAACCTGAAGCACACAAAGCTCTGTTATGAGAAGTGTTCCCGTACAAAGATGATCTTATTAAATGAAGGGGAAGAAGTATGCATCAGAAATATTTTTGCATCTGGAATGCAGCAGCTTCAAGTTGGCACAGCCTGTGAAGGGCTTGTTCGGACCATCATATGCACGTGGAGTTTATCGAGAGTAAACTAGATAATGTGAAGTGGAGAGGCGTTAAATTTAGACCAAGTTTCATGGTAGTATGCTTTTGGGTGATAATTGGTTCTTATGTGGCATAGTGTGTAGAGAATAAGTAGAATTTACATCCCTATGGTTGTAAAAGAAAAGTATCATGACAGAGTACCTCAGAAAAGAATGGCAAGTAAAATCAATTGGCTTTTTAAAGAAAAAAAAAAAACCTATTACAGTAAATCCATGTTAACAAATTGACTTTTAGTATGCAGGATTACATATTTCCCTTATTACATGTGAACAGTGATTACTGGAAACCCTTTTTTTTTTCCTTTTCAGAGTCTGAAAATGAAGACATGGGAAAACCTACAGTCCTCTGGGCCGTCTACTTCAACATGAGAGATTCTTCAGGGATTGACAAAAATTCATATAATGGCTTACCCTCAAATGTTTATGTCTGTTCTGGACCAGACGCAGCTTTAGGAAATGACTGTGCTGTCAAACAGGTTGGGCAGATCAATTTTTTTCGTTGCAGAACTTTAATTTTAAAAACCTAAGGAAGTCCAATGAAGTCAGCTTTTGCTCAGGGTTATGGTGCTTTATGCTGGGTACTTAGTACTGGTACAGCTATAAACCTTCACAGCGAGACATGCAACAACCTTACTTCATGAGCAAAGTGAATGTCAGTGGGATTGAGAACGGAGGAAACCTGAGAAAAGACCAGTTGATGTAGTAACATTGGGAGCAGCAGATAGTTAATCTGAACAGTTAAAGGGAATCCAGAAGGCAGCACTACCTGAAGATTATTATCTTGCTAGAATGGTTACTGGCTCTAATACTGTGGAGAGGAAGAACTGTCAAATAATTCAGAAATAGAGGTGATAACTCCCCTAAATATGTAATCTTTTGCCTGTAAGTTTAAAGAGGAAGTACAGTAGTAAAGAAGCAGTACAAATCAAGGGTCAGAAAAGCCTATCTACAGTTTAAGTTGGAAGGATCATCAAAGTAGTATAGTACCTGCAGGACAGTCATAAATCTAAAACCTTATTGGGAAAAAAAAACTCTGAATAATTACTAATCGGGTATGTTAAGCTATTTGTCTCTGTTTACTTTCTGCCTTAGTATAACTATTAAAAAATTATGGTGTTATTTTGTCTCTGAAAGAATTCAGGGGGATGGCATTCTACTCGTGACCTTTCGATAGCTTTTGGCACCAAATCACACTCGGTTCTGATTTTTAGTTCTCAGTATTTGGGTGTCTACATACCTAGTGCCTGCTAACTAAAATTCTGAAATCAGAACCACTGACACCTTGCCTAGTAGTAGGCAGAACATACAAGTACTCAATTTAAGACAAACTGCTAGTGCTTTGAAATTGGAGGTGAAGAGTGAAAGCTCCTTAAACAAAACTAGGTATATGGAGAGATAGCGAAATAGCCACCTTCTGTGGTGGCAATAGGCAGAATATGCAGGGACAGCAGATCTTCTTGGGTAGGTAGGTAGAAATTCACTAAGAGCATCATATCATACCTCTCCTGCCTTCCCCACTACTATTGAGCAGAAGACAAGATCATGTGAATGTGTAGATTGTGACTTGTTCAACAAAAGGCAGCTCCAGGAATGTTTCCCCTTTTGCTCTTCCATTCAGAGATCCGCCTTGATAAGGAAGATATAAAGTCTTCAGCAAATCTCCCCCAGCAGTCACTGTGGTGTCAGGGTGCTTTCAGAGCTAGCATGAGGACACCTTTACATCTTTGTAGGATTAACTGGCACTAGTAATTTTTAAAGCTGCTTTTTAATGGCCGTGTTCAGAGAGTGTGCATGCCATCTTCTAGCCAGTTGCAGGATGTTTTATGACTAAGTTATAAACCTCTTAAAAATAAGATTTTAAAATGGACAAGCTGACATAGGCTGAACTGTGGGGTCAGAACAGGATAATCAAGGGCTAATGGTATGCTTCAGTTTGCTTTACAAGGCAATAATTTGCCTCCCAAGTGGAGAAAGAACAGTAAAGACAAAAAATAATACAAGACAATTATTATGGTAGCAGTTCTAAATTGTAAATGAGTTATTTTCTAAATCAGAATTTTAAACTGTTATTTAAAACAGTGCAAGTTGAAAACTGTTTAAAAAAAACACTTAAAAGCCAGCCTGTTTCTAATTCTGATAGCCATCTTTTCTAGCATTCAGCTTTGTCTTACCTTAAGAGCTCTTTTTCTTACCAATGAACAGTGGTATTGTGGTTCAAGCTGTATTTAAATACTGTTGCTGCTGTAGGTAGCATTGGTGTTAAATCTGTTGACCATCACTGAGATAGATGTTCAACAAGCAGATCTTGGAGGAGAAACAATCAAGAGCCTTAAAAACCGCCTTTCTGAAAGAGTAGATAGAAGCTACATTTTTTAAACTGTTTTAAATTTTGAAACAAATGGTCACTAGTTAGAGTGAAACATATTTTAGTGTAAACATGTTTAGAGTTAAAAGTCATAAGGGAAAATAAAAGTGAGGAGTGTATGTGAGAATAAAGTCAAGAACAGGCTGGAGATAGAGCAGAACTCACTATTAGAATACACTCTTCCCATCTAGCCTGTAGGTACCTTCCAGTCAAGTGGAGGAGGGAAATACTTGTAAGTTCGTGTGCCTTCTGCCCCCAAATCACTTCCATCTTCCTGGCAAGAGGATGGAAATCTCCAAATATGAGATACTTACAAACTCATGGATCAGAACACTTTAAAAAACAAACAAAAACCCACTGTGTGTATTAGTCTTGGAGATAGCTTGGAAAATGGAATCTAATTTCTCTAATCAATTCTGCGTTTACTGTTTTAGTGATACTTCCCATGATTTATGTTTTCATAACCATTAGTATTACTACTATGTCATGCTGTTTGATTGTATTGATGATACGTTATTTAGAAGGCAAGACACCACAGCTTTTACAGATGATTATTCAGCTACAGCTCAGTATACAAATGGCTTAATTCTTGTTTTATTTTAATTTAGTGTTAAATTCCTAGTATAATATGAATTAATTTTGATGTCTGCATTTACTTGCCCTGAGGATAGGCTAAATAAAATGTAAAGTGCCATTTATGATTCCTTCAAATTCTGTATGTATGGATCAAGTAAAACATCTGGCTTCCAGTTTTCTATTTTTTCACTGCTTGAAACACACTTGAAAACTGGTACACAACTACTAAATATTGAAGGAACTATTTACTAATTTAAATTATTACAATAAGTATCAAAGCACTGTAATGAAGGAGTTGTTAAATTGTTATTGGTTATTCTGCATGACTTCAGCTGGATAAGGTTAACTTAAAAAATTGGTAGACCTGAAAGCACTCTATACCATTAAACTGTTCAATTATAATCAATGTCATGATGTCCTATATAGCATACTGAGAATTTCTTCCCATGTTCAACCTCATAATTATTTCACCATTTTTGGAGTGGATATTTGCTGACTGATTGGAGACTGAATAATTGTGAGAACTGCATAGAACTGAAATGTTTGTCTGCTCTAGTTTGTCATCTGTTTAGTACCACATAAGACCCTTTTCTTCAATATTCTATTAAATATAATAGTAGTTTAAGTATCTGTCTGAGTTTCAAGGACAAGTGCAGAGTTGAAATTAGAAGTCTTTCTCTTACCTTTAGAAGGTTAGTTTTGTAAACTTTTTCTAGGATATTTGCACCTCCTTGCCCCCTAGACTTACTAGGTAAGGTCTTTGAATTAGAAAAAGTAGAAAACTAGAAGTAGAGAATAGCAAATTTTTCATTACTTTTTCATATACAAATATAAATAATTTTTAACGGTTTTAAATGGGTATGGAAGAGTGGAACATGGGAAGCAGAATGAAGCATTGAATTGAACTGAGAGTAGACAGGGTTATTTAACCAGTTAATCATGGAGTCCTACATCCCCGTGCTGGTGATACAAATCCACTGCTGGTGGGCAGTGAAGTTTATCACAGAAAGCTGTTTGGTACATGTTCAGTGATGTATTAATCTGAAAACAATTCCCTCTTGTCCAGGAATCCCCATTATGTAGTCAGCCTTTGCAGTTGGCATTAACTGACCCCACTGTCAGCTTTTTCAGTGCGGTGTCTGGTAGCAGTATGAATATAAAGATTAAATGGATTCTTGCCGATGTGGGAGCTCTCATCACAGGTTATCTTTAGGGCATAGTTTACTAAATAGACAAAATCGAAAGGAACTGTTGCTTTGCCTTTTTAGAAACCCAAAACATAACTGTGATCTGCATCAGTTGTTTCCATTTGGCTTAGAAGCTTAAGGACTTGGAAAAGAAAACATTTATGGAAATGTGAAGTGCATGTTGATTCAGTAAATAAATTCCAGAGCGTCTCTAGCTTTTTCTTTTTCCCCCCCTTAAGATAAGCTTATAGAGAGCTTAGTTGCACAGGAACGTATAAAATTGTTTAACACTAGTTAGCAAAGCTCCTTGCATTCTTGTGTTTTTTAAAGGATTTTTGGTCTCCTTTTATAAAATGTCTGATTCTCAAGAATTCTAAGATCACAGTATTTTGGTTCTTTTTCTCCTGGATTTTGTAGTTGTATTCTGTGTTGAAAAGGTAGTTTGCTTGCAAAAAAACATCTTCATTGTTCTCAATACAATGTAGAATGACCAGCATTTTTTAGAAAGCCCCATGCAGTGACTTTCCCAGTAGAACAATATAAAATAAGAGATTGTTTTTTCTTTTTTGAGAACTGCAAAAAGGAATGGATTTCCCATGTGTTTACAATACTGTCAAACTATTAAATCACTATTGATTTGAAAGAACAGAGGTTAATCTTAAATATCTGTAAAATATTGCTGCAGGGTATTACATTTCAAGGTAAAGTTTATTTTATGCTTTTTTTTTTAATAGGCTGAGACTATTTTCCAAGAAATGTTTCCTACCGAGGAATTTTGCCCACCACCACCAAATCCAGAAGATATTATTTATGATGAGGATGAGACAGCACCAGAGGAGACTGGATTCAGCAATTCACCAGAGACAAAACCTGAATCCTTAACTGAGGAAAGCAGTAGTGGAGGTAGTACTGCTCTTAAGAAAGAAGATAATGAAGAATGAGTTAGCACTGTTCTCTTATTAGAAGAGGAGGTTGACCCCAACAAAAATGTAAGGGAGGAAGGGTAACAAAAAGAGGTTTAAAAACCCCATAGCTGTATTATTTGCAATTGCCTTACTTTCCTTGGCTTGAATAATATTTCTTCATCAAATAGCTGATAGCTGAGATATTTCTTCGTCATAGGTCCATCAGATCCAGGGGTGTTTGTAGCTAAACAAAAAACATAGAGCAAAGCATTTGAATTTAAAATCTAAAATAGGTTTCATGATTTGTTAAGAGAATTTGGTTTTGTTTTACATCTTGGAAGGAATACTCCATCTTTATAACAGGCAACAAGTCAAAACTAATCAAAAGAAAAAAATGTACAAGTTTTCTTACCAGTCAGCAGATGATCATCTAATACGGTGTGTCACATTTCTACTCAGTTGTTCAGTCTCTGCTAATTAAACAGTTGAAGGTGAGCTTCACAATCTGTCCTTCAAAGTGGTTTTATGGATGGAACTTAAATAATACTGACAGTTCTGGGGTGGCTTTAGAATGCGTACTAGATATCGTGTTTAATTTGTATCATGAAAAATTTATTATATGATTTTGAAACTGATACCATGATTTAGAAGCAAATATAATCCAATAGATGTTCCTCACATGAAACTATTTTACATTCAATTTTTTTTAATAAGATCTGATAGTTGTGCAATAACACACTAGTGACCTAATTTACTGTAGTCAGGAAAACAGCACAATTAATGCTAGACTTCCCAACAAAATTAAAAATCATTAATGGAGCGTACCTGTTGTTAGTTTCCCTGGATTTGTTGCAGTGTTTGGGCCTTTAATAAGCCAGTAGTTAGTTTTTTCAAGTATGGTGTCCAAGAAGTTTAGATGATCATTAATTGAGGTTTTTGGTGGTGGGGAGAAGGTTCAACTGATAATTCCAATGGTTTGTATTGATCCTAATTAATAGGATTAAAATTAGTGCGATAGCTGTAAATTTTGCATTTTGTAATGATAAATCGTAAAGCATTTATACAATAACATTTATTGGAGTATTTATAAGCCTACTTTGTATGAAAAATTACAAAATGAGGAAACCATGATAAACTTGCACTTCTGAACAATGCTTGAAATTAGATATCCAGATGATGAAAAATATTTAGCATTTACTGAAAGATTTACCTTAAAATGTACACCCAGTAGATCAGTAGTGTATTTAAGTATAGAGATGAGTGAATTTTGATGAGTCAGGGTTTAAACTTAGATACAGTTCTAGCAGTGCTTAAATACTGTACGTAAATAGAAGATGCCATTGAATAATGAACATTCAGCACTGCCTGAACTGGACACATCCAGACTTGTGTACAGTTTCGCAGTGCATGTGCCTGCCTTGAAAATGGCTTCATGCCATCAAAGATTGTTTATTTATTTTTTTACAGCATAAGTGATACAGTTAACTTCACTTTGTCTTGCATCATAGTACATTGTCCAGTTTTCATTTAAAAAACTGGTTTGTTAGTGTTTACGTTAATTGTTTATTGCATAGGTACCATTGTGTGTATAATCCCAAAGTCCTCTGCAAAATATGTGGCTGAAATGTTTCCAATGTTAAACGACGGTTATTGTTGTATGCTTGTGATCGAGCAGTTATTTGTATATAGTAATAAGCAGACTGCCTCTTCGTTTAGCTGTAATTTTTATGTGTATTGAAAAGCATGAGTATGTGGTAATTGTGTTTAACATCTACAGAGCTGTAAAAGAACTAAGTGGAGGACCTAGTCCCTGTTTGTCTTTCGATAATAGGGATCATAGTTGAATTTTTCATCTTCTATGTTTACAAGGAAATTGTTTTATGAAAATTAAAGGTTTGCTTGCAAGTGCACTTTTCTGTGTTTTCTTTCAATTACATGAGTAAAGCAGTTCATTTGTGAGCTGAGATTTCCTGATAATTCTGTTGCCTGATTTCATCATGTTGACGTTTGTAATAAGATTGAAGTTTATGTATGTTTATAGAAGTTAGAAGTTTATATAAAGTAGCGTCTTAGTGCTTCGTGTCCATGTGAAGCAAAGTTTGGAAATATTACAAATTTGATTTTAGATAAGACAGAATAATCTACAAGTTGTAGGCTATGACTTTACACTACATTGATTGCTTAAAAACTGTTCTCATGTCTCGTTGGTACAGTGAATGGAAACATAAAATGCTTTCCTATGGTACTTGAGTACCCAATAGCTCACTTGCAATAGCGGTAGATAAGACTGTTGATCTTTGTATTTTACAGAACTCGTGCACTGAACAGCATTTTGTTCTTGCTTTAAATTATTTAAGCATACAAAGTGAGGGTTAGGCTTATTCAGAGTAGTTTTTAAGGCTTGTCATACAGGATGTATTCAAAAGATAACATGACTTTTTAAAAACTGGCAATTTATCTGTAGGTTTATTAATAAATCAAGTTAAAGAAAGATAAGGTTAATTGAATTTTTAAACAAGTAGCTGTATTATCCTTCAAGCACCTTGGAGCTCATACAATATTCACACCTTTTTTTTTTTTTTTCCTAAGGAGTGCTTTGATATGTTTGAATTCCTTTTTTAATGAGTACTTTCTTTTTAACTAGGTTAATTGGATTAACCCCCAATATTCCAACAGTCAATTTTGTGCCATTTTCCCTTCTGCTGTTGTATTGCCTTGTCTGTATGACTGCAATTAGTTACTGTTCCTTTGCAAGTATTTTCAGCCATGAAGCTGCTAAGTCTGCTTTTTCTGGTGATGATGATGCTTAGGGCCATTTGACAGGTAATCATTAGAACTTAGATCCTTGCAGGCTATGGGGTCTTTTCTCCTATCATTGCAGGGGGATTTATGTAGGTAACTCCTATTAATGTTAATGGGACTTGCATGTGTAAATCCTCCTTGCATCAATGGGAAAATTGACCCCTGAAAAAAATATCTTCACGTTAGACTTGCTGATTCAGAAATGTCCAGGCACTGTCAGCTCCTGTGGAAGTGTGATGGAGCACGTGCTTTGTGCCGTTTCACTGAAACACTCTGAGGAGGAAATGGGGAATTTTTAGGGGTTTTGTAATTTTATATTGTATTTTATTTTTTCTATACGCTTCCAAATCTTGTCAGCAAGTTCCTCTAAGCATTCTTTTTATGTAGCTGGTGTCAGTTGCGCTTTCTGTACTCAGGAGGTTGCATGGCTCCTTTTGCTTTGGCTCTCATTGTATTTTAGGCCTCTCTCTCTTCCCTCCGAATCTTTTTACATTGGCAATGTGAGTTGCAACAGCTTAATTTCAAGAACAATTTGCTAGTCAGATATTGATTAGTGACAAGTCAGAAGTATTAAAATACTGTTTTCACACAACAGGAGACCAGGGCACTTACAGTCCATGATCCCTCAAGGATAAAATCAATTTCCTGAACACTTTTCCAGGCTGGGAGTGGGAAAACATGAACTACCCTCTTTCCTCGAGTGGTGGAAAGAAGGAAGGAGAGACAGCTGGACAGATGGAAAGAGCTAAAGCAGGAGTGCCGTAGTGGGAGGGGATTAAATGGGGGCTGCTTGTTGTGACCTTTGTGCTCCCAGATCAACTGAGTCTTGCACTTTTAGTTCCCTTTCTGCTACGTGAGATTTCTATACAATAGTATTAATTAGCTCTGTGTGTGCATATATATATATTAGGACAAAATTACTATCTCATAAAAGTTTGTCATTTAAACTTTTTGCAGAAATCAACCACTATAGAATGTCCAAAGGTTAGAATTACCTGCTGTTACCAAAACTGTCAAAAATATGTGGGAGAATTGTGGTGGCAGGGCAGTCACTTGCATTCCTTGGGTAAGTAGTAATGTAAAGTATCTTTGCTAAGATGTAGAAGTACTTGTGACACTGGAAGTTTGAGACAGAGATATAAAATACTCATTTATTGCAACCCACTTTAGTAGTAAGATTGCTTCAATAATCAGTTGGAAATCTTTACTTAGCTGTGTATGATTTCAGGAATAACTTTTTTCATGTGATGAAAAGCTACCATAGAAGGATACTTTCAGCTGTAGAGGTGAGTAGTAGGAGATGGTCAGCCACGTGGAATTCATGTCGTCAGCTTCATATTGAGCAAAAACAAGACTTTTGGTGGAAATAGAGCTTATTAGCATTATGTTTATTTACAGGCTGCCAGCTCCTGTTTATAAGAGTGACTGGTTCTTCAAAATCTGGCTGGGCAGCCAGGCAGGAGTGTTGTATATCTCAATGACGTTTGAGATTTAGAAAGTTGACAGTGAAGTATCGGGAAAATGCAGTTGTTGACTGCATGGGAGTTCTGATCAGAGGAGGCTTTAATAGAAAATACTCCTGCTGTCACAGTTCTAACAGACAATATATTTTACCCTGCTTGCATACATTGACAAAAAAGATGGAAGATATCGACCTGAGTGTATATCAAGCCGCAGATGTATTTGAGTAAACAATGGTTGCACAGGCAGTGGTGGGCTCCCAGTGTATATAATGCTGCTGAAGTGGCAGCTTTATGTAGGAGTCTTCTCAGTCTTGGGGAAAAGCTTCTTTGAGAGTGTTGCAAGTTTTATAACCGGCCAGTATACTGAATTCAGTAGTATATTTCTTCACCTGATTTTAGTTTTTCCTATTACCTGTCAGCAGTTTTTTTACTCAAAAAGATTTAAGCATCAAGGAGAACTAAAATACTGTCTTAGTAACAGTCTAATATTTTAGTTGGGTCTCTGGAGAAGGCTTTAGTGCTGTTGCTTCATTCTGAATGGTTAAGACTTCAGTGAGTGGGACCTGCCGTAGGCTATGGACACTCCATCCATCTTCTCAAACAGAGGCGTCTTCTCTTCTGTTGTGTTACTGCATGATAGCAGTCACCACTGGTGGCTAGCAAATGTGGCTTCAGCTTTCATAGCTGCTTTTTTGCCGCTCCGACTTCACCAGCTTATTCTCTAGTTGAGTACTGGTAGCTTTATCTCATTCTTTTCTTTTGCTCTAAGCATGGAGCTGGACTAAGAAATGCTTCTCTGTTGGAAGTGATGTTGTCTTGATCCTGAAGCTGCTGGGTTAGTAAGTCATCTTAGC